ATGGACCATGCTGGGTCGGGTCAAGTCTTACCAATTATAGTTATGGACTTAGACATTAATCCAACAGTTCTTGCGTTTGATCTTCTTATTTTTTTTCTTTCTCGTCTTTTTGCATCTTGAAGATTTGATTTCATGAACAAACCCACTTTCCATAACTTCAACTTTGTGAGTTTGAATCAAATCTTTTGGGGTTTGATACTTGTGATTTTCTTGGATCACCGGCTTCCGATAAGGAATCATTCCTTCAAACAAATCACAAGAACACAAAATATCATCGGTTTGAACTCCAATCGAGGAAAAACTTTTTCATCATGAGAATCAACTTGAACTCCTTTTTCTTGAACATCAAGAACATCACATTGAACTCCATTGTCAAGAACTTCAACAAACTTAAGAGCACGAAGATCATTTGGGTTTTCAATTAGAGAAATGTATTTCTTATTAAACAAATCTCTTTCTTCTCCTTCCATTTGATTTCTACTACGGACTAATATGGACAAGGCAATTTTATTCAACCATACAATCTTACAAAGTGGTTGAAAAATCAAGCTTACATTATCATCCTTCAAATCTCCATAAGAAACCATATTACCCCCATGAAATCAATTTGCTTAACACCAACCCATAAAATTGATCTTCATTGATTTTGTATTTGATATCTTCAACAATCACAATCCAAGAATCATATGGCAAGTCCACCATGATCATAAGAACTTGAAATTTTCTAGAGAGAGAAAGTGATTTTGAATGAGTTTTCTAGAGAGAGAAAGTAAAAATCACAGGAATTGTAGTAAAGAAAATCTAATTTTGAATAGAATCAAAGATGAATTCGATTTCTAGAATCCAAACGCTTTAAAACATGAAGATCAAAGATCAAAAAATGAATCACCAAATCAATAAAGCCATCAAGGATCAATTCTTGATCCAATCAAAAACACCCGCTCTGATACCAATTGTAGTGGAGTTGATTATGATGGCATGTGCAGAATTAGAAAAGATCTAGTGAATCATCATACGAACTCAATAACACAAAGAGTAAATAATTATGTGTATGCTCATATTAGATCTAGAAAGGATATACAAATGGGTTTGTACAAATTTCTCTCTCTAGTCTAACACTCCAAAATCATTATTACATAATTGGAGTCACTCACTTCCTATTTATAGGAAAGACTCAACCCATTTACACATACAAAGGGGTAAAACCTAAGACTCCACATCCAAGCATGACTTTGTACCCTAACAATAAGGATGTTATATAGCCCCCAATCCGAGATATTAGGGTTTCCTTCTGATATGAGTATGCCAACGTACACAAATGTACGCCCAGTGTACTAGGGCGCGCCCTAGTACGCTCAACGTACCCTTATGTACGCGCAACGTACTCTCCTGGTCCCAAAATTACAATTTAGCCCTTAGGCTCTTCATGGCTTTACCCCTCCATCCCCAGGGACTACAAATGACAAAACTTGGGATGTTACATTTGACCATTTAATTTGTTATATGTGTTCACATATTACCATTTTCACCGGCTATAGCAGGTGATAATGATAATATGTGAACAAATTAACAAAGTTAAATGGTTAAATGTATACGAAAAAAGAAAATTGCTTAAATGTGAACAAAATGAAAAGTTAATTACCTGATAAGTCATTTTCCCAACTTTTAATAACAATTTTATTTTTCATATTTGTTTGTATTATATTTTTGAAATGTTATTTTTAAAATATTCATAATTTCATAAATATTAATTAAATATTGATCAACTTTAAACTTTACTTTTTAATTAATAAATATGTTTTTGTTTGTGAAATACTTTATATAGCCTCTTATAATTTTTTTCTTTTGTTTTTAAACATATACAATATTTTTAAAGTAATAGTGTCTAATAGTCAAATTAGATAAATTAAATATGTAACAATAACTATGGAGAATCTTTAAAAAAAATAAAAGAAAATATTACTTAGCAAATAAAAAAACAAAAAAAATATATATATAATGTAAATGTTTTAAAACTATTCCAACTTTTAATACTTTTTAGTTAGAAATTTATAAACTTTTAATTTTTTAAATACAACGTTTAAATTAGTATTTAACGAACGTATTTTAAAATGTTATAAGAAAATATTAAACTATTATACAAAATCTGTGAAATATTTTAAAAATGTTGTAAAAGAAAATTTAGAAATAAATGTATGAAGATTATAATTTTTTTTATGAAAATGTAAAAGAAACAAGTTAAATACTTGTAAGAAAATTTTAAAACATTTATAAAATATTTGGTTTTTAAGCACTTGTATTAAAATTATATGAAAGAAAAAAAAAAGTTTAAAAAAAAAATTATAGACAAAGATTTAAAATATTGTACTAGAAAAACCTATAGGAAAAAATATCATAAAAATGTTGTAAGAAATTATAAAAAAATTTAAGAAATTTGTAAAAAAAATTGTTCACATTTAAACAACTTTCTTTTTTTGTACACAATTGTCCATTTAACTTGTTAAATGTGTTCACATATTACTATTGTCATCTCCTATAGCAGGTGACAAAGGTAATATATAAACACAATTAACAAGTTAAATGATCGAATTGTACAAAAAAAAATAAAGTTACCTAAACGTGAACAAAACGAAAAGGTAATTACCTTGCAAGTCATTTCCTCTAATTGATATAACACATTAGCTAGTCTAGTAAGATATACAATATGTTGTATGTAAAACAATGATTGTGGCATATTGCGTTGCTTTTTCATTTTTTTTAATAGCTTAAAATTATTGGTACATTACCTCAAGGGTACGCCATAGGAGAAAAGCTGGAGTTTTGAAGTGAAATCTTAAAGATAAGCACATCGAGAATCAATAAAGGAAGGAGATCTACCAATGCAAGTTGGCTAGTGCGAGGGGAATGATAAGATGCAGAATCCTACTAAAAAGAGCTTGAAAGGGTGAAACCATAAACTGCATGTGGCAGGCAGTGACGGTGAGCGGAAAGGGCATCGATAGAAGGTTTTGAAACCGTGTGTATTTCTTTATTGAGTAAATTACTGAAATCGTCCCTATGGTTTGGTAAAAATTATATGTTTGGTCCTTAATTTTTTTTCTTGCACTCAGATCATCCTTGTGGTTTGATTTTGTTGTGTTTTTCGTACAGACAATTTTGACCAAAATTGCACGTTTATTCGGTAACTTTATGTATGTAAAGAACGAAAAATGCAACAAAATCAAACTATAGGGACGATCAGAATGCAAAAAAAATTAAAGGGACCAAAGATGTAATTTTGACCAAAGAATTGATGGATTTTAAGGGGAAAATGCAACAAAATCAAACTTTACTCTTCTTTATTTTCTTGATTTTTGTTTTTTTTTTTTGGGTTCTCTTTTTTATCTTCTACAACATCTATAGATATTTGTTTTGCTTCTTTACAAATTTAAGGGGAAAATTAATCCTATATAGACAAAATTTATATCTTTTGATAGCTATCCCACCCATTATATGCGGTGTTTAGTTTCATGAAAATGTTTCGGTCAAACCTCGGTTCCAATTTCAAAACCAGTTCCGAGCTTAGATTTAAAAAACGGTTACCCTTTATGATTGCTCACCCCTAGTTTAATATACATATAACCTACTATTTATTATTGTAATTTATATATAGATCATATGTATATCCGAGAACATTATTTAAACAACTATTTATCGAATCATATTTATATATAATCTCTGTACCCCACGTCTATCTAGTTGCAGTTAAGCAATTCCTCTATCATCTGCATTGCAACCCTATTTTCTTCGTCTATGTTTCCATTACCCCCTCCACCGGGACCACCGTCTTCCACCACTGTTGGAGAGAAAGATTCGCATGATGTAGTTTGTGATGTCGTTTCTTCTTCGTCCTCCCTCTCTTTTCTCTTGCCACCGAGCTCAACCTTCATCACCCAGCCAGAGCTGGACCCTTTACCTGCGCGTTTCTGCCACACGCCGATGTGAGAGTTGTCACTGTCGAGACGTAGACAGGTGAGCGATGGTGCTGGGTCTTTGCAGCATTTACGTAGCTTAGCAGCAAGGGTGTCTGCTGGAATTTCCAACGGTGAGTTGTGGGTCCCTTCCGGTGGGGTTTTGGTGGTCACCGGAAAATTTGTTTTTGCCTTCTGACCGTTCATCAAGATAGCTGCTTGATCGTAGGCTCTTGCGGCTGCCTCTGCCGTATCAAATGTACCAAGCCAAATCCTTCGCTTCCTACATTGTACAACATGCGGTATATATAAATCGTTTTTGTAAGATGTGCACATGCAGTAATAACTATAAACAATTTAAAATTAGAAAAATCTTTTTTTGTAACATTGTACAAGGTTCATCAAAGTCGTACATCATTATTCAAGACTTCTATTACACGTTCATCTGTGTTTTATGGGCACAATTTTATGCCTGTTAATTTATCAAACTCCCTCATCTTGAAAAGTGAACACCATTTTAGATTTTGTTATTTTGATTTAATATTAGATAAACTTATTTAACAAATAAATATAAATAAAATCTTTTTTTGTAGTTGGTTGTTGAAACTTACAGGAGTGGGTGGCGGATCTCCGAAACCCATGATCCCCATTGTCTTTGCCTGACACCTCTGAACTTCTTGGATTGTACCCTCATTTCTTCTATCTCTTTAACAATTATATTTTTTTTCCGGCAAATATATTAAATGGTACCCCTAACTAACAAGGAGCAAGCAAGGGAACAAACAGGAACACAATACAAAAGTTTATGAATTACAAGGAAGAGGAAGAGGAAGAGGAATAGAAAGAGAAAGAGAAAGGGAAAGGGAAAGAGAGAATGCCGCAATAATCAATTGTGATCCAACATACTCCCAACATGAGAGAGAGAGAGAGAGAGAGAGTTATTGCATATATATAGAGGTGAAATGTGGATTCAGTGGTCCTGTTTAAGGAGATATACACCAAGTACGTATTTATATATACACGACACAGACTTGGCACAGAAGCATATCAATGTCAATAGTTATTAATGTACAAATATTCAGTGTATTAAACACGATGACTAAAGTCATATGCAGTCATCATTTTAATTCGTTTTTTTTCTTTATGGATTTTTCATATATGTTGATAGGAAATTTTAACAATTTAGCGGTTGGTATGACGTTAAAGATTGATTCGAGAATGTCAATCTCTAAGACAAGACTAATTTGACATTAATAGTCTTCTAAATAAATAAAAAACAATAAAAATATATATATATATATA